AAATCCATTTAAAAAAAAAAAAAAAAAAAAAGACATTTTCAGATCTTAAAAAAAAAAAAGTAAGATCCTGGGAATAGACGGGATACTGACTGATATGTTTCAACTAACAGATGCAACCCTAGATCTGCTTACATCACACTTAATGATGAGCAAATGAATGTTTTCCTCTGGAGTTTACAGAAGTAAGCATGCCTACACTCATCATTGTTAGTCAACATGTTGATTGTTGCTGGTGCCATTGAGTGAGTCCGCTCAAGAGATACATACAGCAGAACAAAAGATTGCTGAGTCCTGTGCCATCCTCGCGTGTTGCTCTGTTTGCGTCCCTTGTCACAGTTGCTGTAATAATCCACCCCCTTGAGGGTCTTCCTCTTTTTTCCTGCCTCTCTCATTTAAAGGCTCAAATCTATCAGCAGTTGTGTGGCGGACAACCTCCTGTGTGATTTACCGCCTCTGAAAACATGATGGAGGGTCAGGTATGGGTTGGTTCCAACTTGACAGAACATAACAACAAGTCTGTTTGAGGCATGAGGACCTTCTCTGGGAAATAGCCCCTTCTGGTAACATGCTCAAAGGATGTGAGGCAAAGGATCACAATCTTTGCTTCTAAGGGGAATTCTGGTTGCACTTTTTCCAAGACAGATTGGTTTGTCTTTTTGGCAGTCTATGATATAGTCAATATTCTTTGCCAACATAGTACTAGAGTATTAGCCAGTATAATGAGCTAATAAAAGGAAATACATGATTACAGATCAGAAAGGAGGAAATGAAACTGTCCTGATATGCAGATGACAGCATGATGTGCAGGAGACTGACAAGAGAAATTTTTAGAGCATCCTTCTTAAAAATTTAAAACAATCTTTTCAGCATATTTTTCCAGTTCAATTTATCATCTGATTTCATAACAGTTGCTTCTATCAATGCTAATTGTTTATTCAAATAGAAAGAAATCATTAGTAACCTCAATTCTTTGATATTTATCAGTAAGTATGGCCTTCATTTACAGCAGGTAAGATTGTAGTATTTACATATCATAGGTTTTTATTCTTGTTGTTATGGTGTACCATCAGGTCAGAACCGACTCGTGGGTGATCCTGCGGTGAGTTTTCAGAGGCAATAAATCACATGAGAAGAGATTGTCTATCTTTCTCCGTAGGAGCAGCTGGTAGATTTGAACCATGTTCTTTTGGGTTGGTAGAACAACTCCTTACCATCAAGCCACCAAAGGACTAGTGTTATATTTGTCTTTACGTAGTCCAGCTCCTCAGATTTTTTGGCCAGAATATAGGTTGAAAAGCAAATAAATTAAAAGATTACAATCATGACACACACCACCCAAATCCAAATCACATATTATTACTTTGTTCTGTGTTATGACCCACGTAATTGAATGCCTTCACATAATTGATAAAATACAGGTAAGCATCTTTCTGACATTTTCTGCCTTTGACCAACATCTGTCTGGCATCAATATTGATATTTCTATCAATGTATGGCTTTGACTTTTTAAAAAAATTATCCTCAGTAATATTTTGTTAGTATCTATCATTAATGATATTGCTTTACGATTTCTACATTCCTTTTGATTGTCTTCCTTTGGAATGGGCATGAATAAAGGTGGTTTTTTTTTTTTTTTCAGTTGGTTGTCCAGATGACTGTCTTTGAAGGAAAGACAGCTATGTTTGAAATGTCTTGACAGAGGAAATGCATGCTTGCTGTGTTGTTCTTTTAGTTGAGTTTCTCAATTAGTATAACATCAATTCCTGGACTTTGTTTTAGACTACTGCCTTCAGTGCCTCTTCAACGTTTTCCTTCAGAACTTACAGGTTAGTCTAGCTCTTCAATCAGATCCATCAGCATCACAGATTTTTACCAATTTTATATAGCTCCTTTTTGGGTCTGGGAAGGTTTCTGCTATGTCATGAAATAGTTAAAATTTGACCCTTTTTTACAGTGACTCTGTACTATTTCTTTCCTCTTTTTTTTTATGCTACCTGCATCATTCATTTTTCTTTCCAGAGAACCATTTAGCAATGAATGCAACTCAAGGCTTAAAACTTGCCCTTAGTTGTGTCATCTTGAGAAATATTGATGGTATTTCCCCCATAGTTGTTGTTGTTGTTGTTGTTGTTAGGTGTCATCAGGTCGAGTATAATCCATGGCAGGTGTATGAAGAGCTAACCTGAACCCAGCCCCATCCTGTGCCATCCTCATCGTCTCTAACACACTAGAGTACATTGTTGAAGTCAAGTCAACGTGTCAATCCTTCTTGTATATTTCACAAAATTTTAAATTTTTGTTCTGTGAATATCATGTTATGAGGACAAAAACAAACTCAAGCTGGGAGAAATGATTTGCAGACTTCATGGTAAGGAGCCGTGCTGACAACTCAAAGCCACGTGGTTTGAATCCACCAGCTCGTCCAAGAGAGAAAGATGGATAATCTCCCCCTGTGTGATTTACAGCCTCTGCAAACCCACTGGAGGGTCAGCTATGAATCTGCTCTGACTTAATAGTACGCAACATCTAACAAAAGGCTTGGCATATATGGAATAGATAAAGGAGCTCTCAAAATCAACAGCAGCAAAAAATTGAGAGTCCAGAAATAAACCTATACATTTATGATTAACTGAGTTTTGAAAAAAAAAAAAAAAAAGAAGCCAAGATAATTCAGCAAATGGTGTTGGGATATGCAGAAGAATGAGGTTAGACTCCTTCTGAAACAGAAAATGTAGTTCATAACTTTAATGCATAAGGGTCAGCATCAAGCTCATTCCAATTTTTTCTGACCTTTCCCTTTCTGTCCCTCCTGGCTTTGCGAATTCATTGCAACATCCACAAAATTCCCAGAAATACTATATTTTAATAACAGCTTTAATATAACAGAGAAGGATAGAAGCAGGGGAAAATATAAACAAAGAAATTAAAAAGTTAAAGTTCAGGAAGAGTTTCAGCATAGACCTCAGCATCCCAAAGGGTTCCCACTTACCCTTCATGAAAACAGATGTTTACCCTCAAATGCTTCATGATATCTATCTCTCTGTGGAGCAGAACTGCCCACTCTCATTGAAACCTCTTGCAGCAAGACTGCCTGCTGCCAGTGCAGAGCCTGCTGGGTATCTCTACTGCTCCCAGCATGGTCCCTGCCTATTCATACCTCTAAGCACGTTATAGCTCTTCTACCCAGGGCTGCAAGAGTTTCTGGTACAGGTGTTTCTCTGCTTATGAACGCATCACTTTCTCATCTCTCAGCCAAAAAGAGGGCCCACTCTCCCTTCTCTGCTCATGCTACTGGGTTGTCTTCTATGCTGTCATTTCTTGCAGTCACAGCCAGCTGCTTAGTTGACCAGGGTATTTTTTTTAAAAATAGCATTCAGTTTATTACATATATTTAGTATTGGCTTCTCATATTTCCCCCCTTTTGTTTTTATCATAATTATGTTATCATCTAGATGAGCAACCAGGGTATTTTTTAGTTTTGCTTTTTTCCCTTTCACAATATGTTTTACTTTATATTAGTTTGCTTTCAAAGTTCATATACATTGTGTTTCCCACTATTCTTCCTTCACTGGGGAGCATTATGCTGAGTGAACTAACTCAGTTGTCCATTCTTTTAACGTGAGCCCTGCTCTCCAACATTCTGAAGAGTGTGGCAGCTCTCTAGTACTGTTACAGATTCTTGCCAGATCTGGAAGGATTCTTAGTGCAGAGCTTCTATGTCTCAAAGACTATCCCCGTCCTTTCTGTCCATATCATCCAAGAGGCTCCCTAAAAACCTACATTTTGGCTCAACATATTTTCATTATTTTTTCCTTTTTTATCATGATTTTAATGAAAGTTTACAGAGAAGATACATTTTTCATTTATTCACTGTGGCACATTTTCTTCCCTACTCCCCTTCACTTTTTTCTTTTTTATTTTGTGCGGGTTTACTTGCAAAATTCGTATGCATTGTTTTTCACACTAGATTTTCCCCATTTCCTTTATCCACCTTTCCCTCCACCCATCAAATTGTGTGACACTATGATTAAGCTCCCTCCCATCTTCACCCTTCTGCTCCCCCTTCTCCACCTTGAATCCTCATACTCGTTCTACAATAATGGTCTTATACAGTATTTGTCTTTATGAGACTGAGTTAGTTCACTAAGCGTAATGCTCTCCCAAGTTAGATAGTAATTTACAAAATCATTCACATAATGGAATACTATGCAGATTTTGAAAATCACTTATAAAAAATTCATTCATTTTTGTATAATTTCCCTTCCTCCAACCTCCCCCAGTCCACTTTGCTATGCACTTCTTTTTCTGGCCTATTGTCATACAGATAATGCCTAATCATATATTCTTTTTAAACCGTCCTTTCATTCATCTGTTCCAA